ATAAAATATTTTAAAGTATTGATAATACTTACCAACTATTTAATGTAATCATCAGTTGCTTGACTTTCCATATTAACTAATAAGAAATTATACAAGAAAAAATTGAAAAAAACACAATTAACGAACATAAAGAAACTCTAAATTGTTCAACTAATAAGATTTAATAAGAAAAAAATTATTAATTTGTTTAGAAAAAATAAAAGCAATTGATTTATCCAATATAAAAAAAAAATCGGTTCTTATTCGGTTCTTCGGTCTAAAATCGAGAATCGAACCAAACCATTCGGTTCTCGATTCGGATACCCGTTCGGATATTTCATTTAAGAAAAATCGCTCGATTCGGTTCGGACATTTTGCCCCGCCCTACATTTGATTATTTTATGTCTATTTAGGGAGAGAGAGAGGAAAAAAAAAAAAAAACTTTTTAATATTAGGTGTTGCAATGCATTACTATAATCCATATTTGAAGCAAGAAGATGACCGGGCTTGTATTTGAATCAAGAAACGGTAATTGAATCCACTGCATATTTGTAAATGATTAACTTTTATATTCAACTTAGAATCTTTAATTGTTAGCAGATTCCTCCAGAAAAATTTGCTTCTTCTGATGTTAAATGTGGAGTGAATCCTTTCTGTTAACTTCAATTGAAAAGGGCAAATCTTTGCCCCAGCTCAACCAAATTCACGCTCTCCTAACAATCTCAGGCCTCTCAAATGTCTTCCATTACAATGCTATCATAAGGGCTTTCTCCAGTACTAAAAACCCATATAAATCAGTGTCCACTTTTATCTCAATGTTGCGAAATGATGTCGTCCCCAATCATCTAACCTACCCTTTTCTTGCCAAGGCCTCTGCACGGATTTTGAACCTGAAACTTGCTGGTTCTGTTCATGGAATTGCGTTTAGAACTGGGTATGCGTCTGATATGTTTGTTTCAAATTCTTTGGTCCATATGTATGGCTCGTGTCGTGATATGATGAGTGCGAGGAAAGTGTTCCACGAAATGCCTATGAAGAATTCGGTTTCGTGGAACTCTGTGTTGGATGCGTATGCAAAGTGCGGTGATGTGAATTTGATGAGAAAAGTGTTTGACATAATGCCTCATAGGGATGTTATATCGTGGAGCTCATTGATTGATGGCTATGTTAAGGACGGAAATTACGTGGAGGCATTGGCTGTTTTCGCGAAAATGGAGGTGGACAGAGTCAAGGTGAATGAGGTTACTATGGTTAGTGTTTTGTGTGCTTGTTCTCACTTGGGAATGCTCGAGCAAGGGAGGATGATGCACAACTATATTATTGAAAATGGATTGCATTTGACCCTTACATTGAGGACGTCGCTTGTGGACATGTATGCTAAATGCGGTGCCATTGATGAGGCATTGGCTGTATTTCGTGGGGTTTCAGTTAGAAAAACTGATGTTTTAATATGGAATGCTATGATTGGGGGGCTCGCTACACATGGTTTTACACGGGAGGCGCTGGACATGAACGTAGAAATGCAGGATTTGGGGATCAGACCGGATGAGATAACTTACTTGTGTCTACTCAGTGCTTGTGCACATGGAGGTCTAGTGAAGGAGGCATGGAAACATTTCAAGTCTATTGCTCGGAATGGCATGGTGCCAAAAACCGAGCACTATGCTTGCGTAGTAGATGTTCTGGCGCGGGCAGGTCAATTGAAAGAAGCATACGAGTTTATACAAGAAATGACGCTGAAACCAACTGCTTCCATGTTAGGAGCATTGCTTAGTGGTTGTATAAATCATAGAAAGTTGGATATTGCAGAGGCAGTGGGGAAAATGCTAATCGAATTGGAGCCTGATCACGATGGTAGATATATTGGTCTTTCAAATGTTTATGCCGTTAAAAATTGCTGGGACAAATCAAGAACCATGAGAGAGGCCATGGAAACACGGGGAGTGAGGAAGGTTGCTGGATATAGCTACGTGGAAATTCTTGGAACGCTTCACAGATTCATAGCTCACGATCAGGCACATCCTCAGTCAGAACAAATCAACTTGATGTTAAATATAATCTTTAAACGGATGACAATGAAATCAGATTGTGAAAGACAACGACAAGTATTATTCGTTATGGAAGATATGTAAATTGCTACCTTATTTATTTTGATATCTTATGAGGAAGCTGTTCATGTGAATAATGTATGCTCTCAGGCTCTAAGCATTTTTCTTGCTCTTTGTAATGCAGTTCTTTGAGATCATAGTTTGTGACTATTTATGTTTGTGACCATAATATTCCGCATCGATTTAGAAGTAAATTTGCAATAAACAAGAAGAATGATAGCGCAGAGACGACTAAAACATAACCAGCAGCACATCCAAGCAACCGAGTACGAATAATACAGGTGTGAAGTAACAAGAAAATACAACTTTTTTGGACATGCAAGTCACAAGATGAAGCCAACTAGCAGTACAAACTAAAGTATTGGTACTGAATTCCTGACTAAATTATCAAAATATCTAGAAATTATAGTCAGGTCAAGTGTCATCAGCATCTGCACTGGTCCTTGACCGATATTGGCGACCTGGTTTCTGCAAGGAGCTGCTACCTTTATCAATTCCTATATGTGGCTCGTCTTCTTCCATTGCACTGACTTCACTTTCTTGGGCATCCTCTTCTGCAACACCAATGGGCAATCCCTTTTGCTTAGCATCATCTCCCAGGGAATCATTACTTCTCTTCACCATTAAGTCATCTTCTGGCTTCTTTTTGGGAGTGAAAACTATTGATTTTGGGATGTCAGCACAAGTATCATCCTGCAATGAGCTCTCAGTGTTTCCCTTCCTCAACTGATGGAGAAAGTCCATATACGCCTTTCCATTGGATTGCTCATCCATATCTTCAGAAGAATCAAAAGTATATCGTGTGTATTTTGAAGGATTCCTCAGATAATCTGGAACAGCAGATGAATATTGTGAAAGATCAGAAGCCTCTTGTGATGCTGCAACATCATCCCCTGAAGATGGCTCCGACACTAAATCACTGGCTCCTGAAGGCTGTTCCTCAAGATTCTGAGTACTGCATTTATGGTTCAACTGGAAGCGGACACGCTTCCTGGACTTCGAGTCTATGTGACTTCCTCTTTTCTTCAGAATAGATTTTGGATTATAAGCATCTAGTTCTGCATGGTTAAGATCTTCGGTCTCCACATCCAGGGCCACAGAGCTATCAGCAACTTGTAAAGAATCAATATTCCCGGCTGCCTCCGCATCTTCTTTCAGCCTAAGTTTAGCAGCCATGTGATTTGCACGAGGATCTCTAACAACCTCCTGGAATGTGTTCGGAAGCTCACCATAAGTATTAAGTCTCTCAAATCCATATTCAGCAACTTTCACGTCCCTCATATATAGGCGGTCACCAACCTCTTCCCTACAGACTGCCACTTTGTCATATTTATCTTCCTCTTCCTGCATAAACCAACCAAGAATGGGAAATCAACTTCTACTTGGAAAAAGAAAAAAGAAAATATACACATATTATATAATCTAAACAAGTTGTTATAACAAATTATGTATTGCACGGATGTCCAATGCATAAAAATCTTTGTGCAATGCATTTTTGCAGCCCCCAAGATGTGATTGTCGCGTCGACCAAATCTCCAAACTTTGGCCTTCTTAAAGAAGAGTGCAGCTCTCATTAAATCAACACTTATAAAACTGAGTAATTTATGCTGCTCAAATGTCTTGTCAGGTGCTATTTACAACAGAAGAACTTAAAAGGTAAAAGGAGATTATGGTAGGATGCTCCCCTCCCCACCCATCCACACCCCCAAAAATCAAAAAATCATGGAGAACAACCAAAATAAATCAGCATATACATCAAAAAAAATAATGTTGAACATCTAACCATCTTCGTGGTTGTATAATGTGCCTAGCATATCAAAAAATTTATGAAAACTTAAAACAGTAAAACAAAATATCCATATACTCCTCCTCACTCAATGGATTAGGATGCATTATCAAATCTGACCTCATTGAGGATACTGCAACTAGTTTGGAAAGTCATGCTAGTTTGGTAAAATTAAAGACCTGTTTAGTGACCGAACTTAAATGCATTATCAAATCTGACCTCATTGAGGATACTACAACTAGTTTGGAAAGTCACGCTAGTTTGGTAAAATTAAAGACTCGTTTAGTGACCGAACTTAAATGCGGCCGTACCCATTTGGTCACTCATCTTTTTCCTTCCAATTTGGTGGTCTAACTTTATAATATGTTTCCACTTGGTCAGGCTGTCTGCGCCTGCTATCCAAACTCAAGGAAATGCTGAGTTGGCAAACTGAAGATTGTCTGTACTTGACATATTTGGTAGATGACTATTCTAGAAAATTGTGTGTATATTTATTCAAATATAAAATTAAACACGAGAGTAATTAATGGCATGGAATTGTGTAACACTGAGTTCAATAAGTTATGCAAATAAAATGGTATTGTTAGACATACAAGAGTAACACACCCCTCAAAAAAAAAATGGCATTGTCAAGAGGATGAATATGACCATGTTAGATAAAGAGGTATGCTCATTTCTTCTGGGATTTCAAAAGCTTCTGGAGAGGCAGTGGTTACTGCTACTTATTTAAATAATTAATTACTTTGCAGTTCCATTAGCTTCCTCACACAAGAAGGAAAATGGAGTGGAAAATCTCCTACCTTAACTCACCTATGACCATTTAGTTGTGCATGATATGCACATACTATGAAGCAAACTAGAGCCTAGATCTCTTAGATGTAACTTCTAAGATATCCAAATGGAACTGCAAGATGAACACACGGGCAGAGCCAGGATTCAACTGCCTTTTGGGGGTATTTTAATTTTTATCAAAGAAACTTCGACAATATGTACGAAGAAATTTTATTTACTTAAAAGCTAAAACAAGGTTAGTTCAAATGTGCCCTTCAATATGGATATAATTAACGGTGTATTTTAACTTAAAAGACTAAAAAGAAAAGACAGAGAGAAGTATAAAGAACGAACAAAGAACAGGCATTAATCTTTTCACAGAGAAATCGAAAAAATAAATAAATAAATACTAAATCATCAAGTTGATTCTATCCAGAAAATAGCAACTTAAACAAATTAATAATATTAGTTTAGTCCCACCCAAAAGCCTATAAAAATTATGGAAAAATATTTTTTCATAAAAGAAATTTAAACAACAAATAACGGTAACAAATGCATCAGCTTAATTATTGATTACAAAAAGTGTTTCAATTATAATAAACCCTTATTTATTCGTCTAAATTTCAACAAATTTGCTTACAGGGACGTGTGAAAACTGTTATGACACAAATCTCTTAAAATTTGGCCGGACTTTTAAAAATTTAATAATGATAGTGAAAGAATTTAAAAGTGAATACCTCATAGTCAAGGGAGCAGTCGCGGCCAATTAGGGATTGAACATCCCAGACTTCATCATCAGTAGAGTTGGTACCATGATGTTTTTTCTCTCCATTAATTTCATCCTCTTCTTCAAATTCGCTCAGCTCTTGAAGATCCGATTTCAGATGGGCCCCGACATCTGTTTCGGGTTTGTTCGGAGGGTAATCGGATGGTCCAGATTCTTCAACTTCAGCTTCATCTTCCTCTTCCTCTTCCTCTTTATTCCGATTCCATTCTTGTCTTTTGATTTCATCGTCTGTGAGGCGCCACATTGAAGGGTTAACGCTCAAAGACGACGCCGTATTGCCCAGCGACCCAAATACCTTGTCTACTCGAACTTTGAAGTTATCTTCCATAGCTGTTTCGTCCTGGTCTATACAAATCGTGCCTCATGTATATACGAGTGTTGCTCGATCAGCAAGGAAAATAGCAGCGAGGGTCTCCAACTTTTGTAAAAGAGCACTTAAGTCATCTACCTTTCATTTTAGTATCTCTTCTACTAGAAGATTTCTTTTATCTGAATTAATGTTATTCAGCCTTGTTTGTTTCCCTTTTAAACAATTTTTTTTTTTTAAATTTTCATACTCATTTTTAACCATATATTTATGTAATAAAATATTTTACACGTAAATTCAAAACTTATTTCTTACTTTTTAATAACACGCTCATTAAAAAATTACTATTCAAAATGTTGTTTTTTCTCAATAATGGTCATCAAACTGGAGCTGAATTTCAATTTAATTTCCATTTGATCAATTGAAATTTAATTTAATTTTAAATTTCACATATCTATTCCTTCATCTTCCAAATGAGGATGCATTCCATGACAAATTCTCACTAGTAAATCTATTGAGATCAAAAGACACATCTTTTAACATTTTAATCTAAAATCATAGGCATAACTCTCGTCTTACTGTTTGCATTTTAGGATACAACATTCTAATTACGTGGAAACCAATTACTTATGGAGCGATAATTAAGCAAGCTTCTTTTTCTTATGGGCATAGAGACATTTAGCCCATGTTTGATACCAATTAAAATTTATATTTTAATTTAAATCAAAATCAACAATTCATTTCAACCATATATTTTATGGCTTCCACAACTTTTCAATCAGGCATTTTATCAATTTCTGTCAAAATTTACTAAAAAAAATTGATTTAATCCCCCACCAAACAGGTGCTTACTGTAATTTAGGGGACTACGCATCCTTGAAAATGAACTCTTTCTCAATGTTTTGAAGATTGAGGATCATAGTGATGCATTGTTAAACGATTGAGGACCTCTGCTGTCATTTTCCCGGTTTTCACTAATGTAACCCGAGCAATTAGCGACTCAAGAACCCTAAGCGAAGCAAAGATGATGCGGACGAGCATCCTTACTCGCAATCTGTGGAGCGGAATCAATGGCCACATAAAACAATCAATACCATTTGGGAGTAGTAATTATAGACAAAATGGGAGATGGTACAGCCTTATACCGATGGTGATTGAGCACTCTTCCCGGGGGGAGCGCGCCTACGACATATTCTCTCGCCTGCTCAAGGAAAGGATCATTTGCATCAATGGCCCTATCTCTGACGACACTGCCCACGTCGTTGTCGCCCAGCTTCTCTTCCTCGAGTCCGAGAATCCATCTAAACCCATCCACATGTACCTCAACTCCCCTGGTGGAGCCGTGACTGCTGGTACCCTTTCGGAATCATATTTCTTTTTTCGAGAATCGAAACACAATTGTCACTGCCTGTAACAATCACTTTTAGTAAATTCAATAAGAGGGTGCTACAACTGCTTATAAACCCACAAGCGGGCCTTTCACTGTGGATAACAACAGCTTTTGGTAGAACCACTCCTGAAAGGAGAGGGTGCACAAAGTGCTTATAGACCACAAAAGAATGCCTTTTTACAAGCTATGTGGGATACAATCGTCCACATATTAGATCGTTACACTACTATTCCAGTGAATATCTATTTATAATTTTCAAAATTTGAGGAGTCAGGCGGGATTTTTATGTCCTAGGTGATTAAGATTAAAAATGGACTGATTTCCGCTTTCCAGCCGTAGTTAAACTTCTAGAAATATAGCAAGGAAACTAATATGTAAATTATACATTTTCCTTACTTTTTTCTGTTTATTAATTTTCTCAATTTGCTGGAGCCGCTAAGAGGCATCAGAAAATACAAATGCTGCCCCGGTCGCACTGTCATTGATAGTTTCCTCCTTTCATTTCATTTCTGACTTATATTTTCTTTTTGCAAATATCATAACACAACTGTCACTAAAATTATAATTTTCTCAAATACTATGATAGTTGATGTTGAGGGTCTGAAGTTGAACATTGGAATTATTAAAATTGGAATGATTTTCAGCTGTAGTTGAACATTGATTATACATTTTTTTCCTTACATGTGTCTTTATATTAAAATTACTGAATCTTTTTGGACCTCTAAGAGGCATCAGAAAATGAAAATGCCATGCCGACTTAATGTTTCTTTTCTCACTCCCAAGTTCATCCTTAATCTTGAGAAAAGATTCAATTTTGCCCCAAATTGAGGTTTATTTAGTGTACTTATATCATACATTATACTTGATTGCCAATATTTACAAACTGAATCTGGAATATGATTTTTCATGCAGGTCTTGCTATCTATGATACTATGCAGTACATCCGATCTCCAATCAGCACCACGTGCCTGGGCCAAGCTGCATCAATGGCTTCTCTTCTCTTGGCTGCTGGGGCAAAGGGTGAGAGGCGATCTCTCCCAAATGCTACCATTATGATTCACCAGCCTTCTGGTGGGTACAGTGGGCAGGCCGAGGACATGAAAATTCACACCAAGCAGATTGTTCGGGTTTGGGATTCATTGAATGCGCTATATGCAAAGCATACAGGACAACCTATTGGAGTAATTCAGAAGAATATGGATCGTGATTATTTCATGACACCTGAAGAGTCAAAGGAGTTTGGCATTATAGACGAGGTCATAGATCAGAGACCAATGGCCCTGGTGACCGATGCTGTTGCAAATGAGGGCAAAGATAAAGGTTCAAACTAGAGATTGCAGGTAAGATATATCCATCTTGTACATTTTCTCCCCTTTTATGTTAAAGGATAATGCTTGTGTTCTCAAAAACTAACTACATGTATGTAATTAGTGACGTATCAATCTCTTACATTACACTCATGCATAAATATGCACATTTCTTTCTACACAAACATTATCCATCTTATACCCACAATGTTTATATATGGATGATAATTGTTGTTATACTTTCTCTTCTGACTTTTTGATGGAATCCTTTGCTCCTTGTTTTTCCCCTTTCGAAGGTTTAGTTTGTAGCTTTGTGCATAAGGTTTGTTAATTATAGTTGGCATTTTTTTAATCCTCAAGTTGTGTATGAGATACGCCTTGATGCTAATGAAGGTGATCACTTAGATGATGGTCTGGTTTATATATGGATTTAATCCAGCTGGTAAAACAATCAGCAGAAAAGATTTTCAGCTATGACACTTGAATGAATACATATAAGTTTGTTTCTTGCTACAGTAACTAATAACATAAGAATTATATAGGAAATTCTGGCAATTCTAGTTTATATTGATTTTTAGTTATTCACACGGAAGAAAAGCCATTCGTAGGTTAAGTATTAATTTATTATTTATGGATAAAATTTGATAAGAGTATCGAAGGAACTGATTTGATTCAAATAATTGTGCCAGTCTTGCATTTGCTCCTTATCTCTTAATTGAAGGAAGGAGGAATATGAAGTTGGTATAATTTCCTCTTTCTTGAAAGTTGTGTGATATTTCTCTTGTGCATGATTTAATACTAATTTTCCAAGTCCATATGGTGCATTCGTTTTGCTTCATGTGGGTTACATTCTTCAGAAGTTCATTTTCTCCAAAAATATGGATGGGCTTCAATGACAAATCCTTGAAAGAATTGAGGGATTTTCTTCTCATGAGTTAGAATAGTAAAAGGTTTGAGGAAATGTAAGTTCTACATAATGGTGATTAGACAAACTATACTTTTTGGTACTGATAGGTAGTTGAAGGACAAAACATCCATAAGATGAATGTTGTCGAAATAAGGATTTAAAACAATAACTGACTAAATGTAATATGGATAAAACAAGAAATGATAATATATGTCAACAATTGGAGGTGGCATTAGTTGGGAATAATCTATGGAAATGTTAACTTATGTACTTTGTGCACGTCGTTTGTCTTTCGAAGACCTAAAGAATTTTTCATTCACAAGAATGATATGTTCCCAGTAACACAAGTTAAAAGAGAAAGAGGTAAAGGTAGAGGTAGACCAAAAATAATATAGTTTACTATGTATGTGAAGGCTTTGATAGTATTGGTGCTCATATCGATGGAAGTGGGGAGATGGATTAAAGGAAGAATGAAAGGATTCACGCTACCAACCTAAATTTATTATGGATGAGGCTTACACTCAAGTCTTCAGGACTCCGTAATGTTTATTTGATTAAAAAGGCCCTAAAAATTCTCTCTGTCAACTCTCTGGAAGTGGTATGATGAATTGGAATTTTCGGTTTGGGAGAAACTTGAGAGGGAGGGAGCTTTAGACTTGGCATCTTCATTGACGATTTAATGAGATCGTTTACGTGAAACCTTATTGACAAAAGGTTGTGGAATTTAGGGCCCTCAGAATCCTTCTCTTGCAAATCATTTTGTAATGCTCTAGTTGTTTTGCCAATTAAAAAGAACTTCAAATGAAGCAGCTACTCTAGTAATAAATTCACCCAAATAAAGAAAGAAGAATTTTAATCATCGAATCAACTCAATAAAAAGAACTTACGTCCAGGCTCACAAGTTCAACTCAGGTGATACGATGTATTTTTGTCTGTGCTTCTTACAAGTGTCACTCTACGTCTGGTTTTAAGTTCCATTGCTTCCCTTGCTTATATGAACAGCCTATGTGATTATTGCATCACCTTTAAGATTACCCAGGTCTGAAGTCTCATGGTGATTCGTCCCTTCTTTTTTATTTTCATACAATGGTACTAACTAAAATTCAATATTGAGGGCCAGTGGTTCCAATAATGTAGCCACCATTCATTGTCATAAAATCAAAATCCAGTACAGGCATGAACTCAAATATCCACTCCGGCACAAAATCAAGCATGACCTTGAATTTATTGATTGTTGTGTGAGAATTGGATGGGGACAGAGTTTGGGTGTGCTTTGAAGCGACTATATTGTTGCTTTGTTGTGCATGTGCAGGGCATTGCATCTAGACCGATGAGACATGTTTGATATATTGTCACTTGAAGAAGATTGCAATGATGTTTCATCTCAAATATCTCATTCATCTTGCACAAATGTTCCTAGTCTATTAGATATTACTCCCCATTCTCCCATCATTCCACTCGTTGCTCAAGTGATTGGTTCATGCCCAACTCTGATACCAAATACTACCTATACAAATTGTCTGCACTATAAATGAAATAATAAAAATAGAAAATAAGAAAGAGTAGGTTAATTCGAGTAAACTAGATGTCCCAAGATAGTATTGATGTTCCAAGAAACCAATAAATTAACCTCCCATATACAACTCAATGTTGCTGAAATAATTTATCCACTATCTACATATAACAACCTATCACTAATTCACTATTATCTTTGACCAATTCAAATATATAAAAATAAGATAAATAATTAATAAAATTGGTTTACCATCCTAGCTAAGCTATTACTAGTTAAAAATTATGCTGATGCACAAGGAAAAAGCATGGACAGATCATATTTAATTCCCATCTGAAGTAGTCTAGTATGATGTAAGCAGAGAGTTGCAGACTTTTTTTAGGGTGAATAATTACCTAAGTTAGACCAACTAGCCAAACTAGCAATAGCCCATAGAAGTGTAAGAATCTGGTCACTCACTTTTCTCTGGCATGGCTCAACTTTGCACCCCTTACTACTGCTAAAAAAATAAGCAGAGCTGTCCATGTGAAGAATCAACAAAATATTAAAACTATTCAACTATTCCTAAGTACCAGCTATATTCATTGCATGCATGTCAAACCAAAATTAGGTTGACATTTTCAGGCTTTGATACCCTTAAAAACATGGTTCCTTGGTATATTTTTGCCTTGAGCCCTCATTTTCGTGAGGTCTATTTAGTAATCAAATAAACCCACAATGATTGGCAACTGCCTCATAACTGGACCAATTGAACTGTTCTTATTTGGATAGGCTTTTGAAAAAGTCACTTCTTCCCCTTCCAGCCTTTATACTTTTAAGAACTGCCGTTGTTTGTCATTCTATAATTAAGGTTTTCTCTGATTAAGATTGTCTCTTGTGTGCTATAATGTATTTAACAGCAAAACAGATTAATGTTTTTGTTTTTGTTTCCCCTCTACAAATCAAATCAGATCTGTAAGAAAGTTATTACTATTTAAATTATGCATTTTGTGCTATCTTGAGAGATAGTGAGGTAGGGCTGGAGATATGGGCTGGTGGGGGAATGTGTTCATTGCAAACTCAGGCTGTGATCATTATCAACTCTTATTGCTTCTGTTCAGTTTTCTTTCTCTGTTTCACAAGCTAAGATACATTCAGTGTACATGTTACAATTCTCTGGAGTGGATTGTTGTATGGGGCTTTTCCTCCTACGTAACCAAAGCTGATTTGCTATTGATATTTTTGTTCACTTGTATCTTCATTTTCTTGCTGTGGCATTTGACTGCGTTTTATGTGACTGACCCTGTTGTTTTTGGTTCTGGTGCAGTACTCTTAGTTCCTATGGTGCATTTCCCATCTTAGGATCAAGGGAATTCTTTTTGGTCGGCCTACCTTAAGACCTGTTATGAGCACACATTGAGAAGTTCTCATTCATCCATCTCCTATTTGAGCATTTTTTGTTTCCATTTTCCTTTTCCACCACATCCATCCGCTGTATCTTTAGTTTTTAATAGTCTCCGCATTAGCAAGGTCCACATTTTTCTGGCATATTTTTGAAACTATGATGGGGATTACATGTACCAGTTTATCATTGCATACCAAATAAAAAGTAGGATCGTATGAAGTTGCTAATACATTTTACAGGATACTTAGCTTCCTTGTCTTCAAATTGTGAATTAGCTCTTGAATTTTAATTCGTGCTGTAAAAAAATGTGCCAGGAAATTTGCATATATGGTCCTCAACCTATAAGCCTTGCACTACAAATGTCCTGATTCTCTTTTTCTTGGCACTGCCTTCCTCAACCCAAGGTTTTGGTGTGAAAGTAGTCCTGGTCAGATTCTGTCTATTTGACCTCTAAAAGTGAAATGGACGGAATCACTTCACTAGTCATCATGTTCAATGTCTTAAAAATTTTCATGACGAACAGTTATGTACAGAACTCTGGTTTTAGGATTTTGTATTCCAAATTTTAATTTTAATTCATTGAGCTACTAATCGTATTGTTTTGTAAATTATGAAAAATTGATTCAATTTGGTAGTAGCAACTTTTCTGACCATCTCAACTTAACGTCTAAAATCATGCCACAGAGAACCAACTCCGTTAGTTTGTCTAATGAGGTAACATTGAAATTTTAGTGCTAATTCCTGCCCTGTTTATTGTAGATTAAAATTAGACGTTTAGTGAACTTTGAAAAGAAGTAAAAAAAAAAAGGTTCAATAAATGGCTAAGAAATTGTCGATCTTGTAAGGTGTGGATTAAAATTTATTATTAACTTTGGACTTGAATTTTTTAGTAGATTTAATATGCACCATGCACAGGCTTGCATGTCTGCCCCAGCTTTAAAGCTGCATTTTAATCTATAAATTGACTGTTAAGCTGCAATTTTGGACAATTCATCTCACAAGTAGGGCCCACGTACAGGAAAATAACGGGTGAAATTTGACTTATAATTTTCTCCAGACAAGCTAAGAAAATTAAATCCAGTGACCCAAAGTAGGTTCTTTTCTATTAGATCTTGTGCAAGATCATAATCGTCGTCTACCTCTGCACGCACCTTGCAAGATCACAAATATTGTGTACTATATATACCTTCTAAGTTTTTGTAAATTTAGTTTCGATAAAAGCAACAATCATGTTACATGTACATCGTTTTTTATATTATTGTTTACATTGTGTAATGTGAAACACACAATTGGACAGCTTAAAAAAAAAAATACTTTTCTCATCCACAATTTTTTAAAAACAAAGAGAATGTCAACAAGAATGTAAGGGAAAAAATGCACAGATGGCATTATTATAGAAGCAAAAGACCATACTCAACCAACTTGATCCCCAACTCAACTAGATTAAAGTTTACATCAACCCTATTTTTTCTTATTTTGTTGTACATGTAAAAGCTCATTAAACTCAAAAAAATAAAAACATACTTTTCCTATGGATTTTCATTTAATAGTGCTCAAAATTGCTGAAAATCAAATAATGAAAGAATACATGTTACAGGAATGTTGAAAATGAAATTTATCTTACTGGTACAAAAGCTTTCAGGGCGTCATCAAAGTAGCATAAAATTAGCACTCAATTTACAGCTTGTATATAACAAACATTCCAGCATGAATTACAGTTGGTAGCTACTAAAAATTTTTACTTCTTAGGTACTATCAGTATACCTCAAATATAATGGAGCAAATCAAAGTCAAGCCTGGAACGTAGAGAGAAATTATACCCCAATTGATCCCTGATGTCACCCAAAAAAACATTGAACAAGAGCGAATGGCAGAATCCCTTGACCCATCTAGTTTTTGAATGTTGATGAAAACTCCGCAATGTAGGCTTGCTTCATACTAAGACAAATTTTCTGTCGGCGTCTCTTTTATTTGCGGTGCCTCCTCTTTGGTTCAGTTCTCTGCCTTTTCTCGTCATCCCACTCTCTGTCGTACATTCTAAAACTCTTGTTAAGAAATTCATAATTTTAACAAAATTATTACCAATATTGATAACTACAAGTAAGCAATGAATATAACACGTGCAAGATAAAGCAACTAAATCATTTGAAACCTGGGCGAATAAATAAGTAACAACCAAAACTACGACCAAATTTGGAAAAGAATATGCTATTCATCATTCATTGAGATGATCACTCATCTAGGTGGCAGTGGATTCCTTAATTCATCGTCCAGTGCATTAAAAAGCATCACAACTCCATTTTACAATGAATTAGGGGATCCACTGCCACCTAGATCGATGATGATCTTTACTAATGATGAATATCATTATTCTTTGAAAAATTATTCCGAGATGTTATGCCAGATGAATAATCACCATGGCGTGTTTAACATGATAACAGCAAAATATGGAGATATGCAATAAGAGAAAAATTGAGATGCAAAAAGGCCATGGTGTCCAAGATGAAATAGTAACAAGCAGATACTAGCGACATATTTAATGTTAAGGATACGGATCAGTATCACGACGGGTTGTCTTAGTGGCTGCTTCTTTGGCATGAATCCTGAGAGCTGGCTCCTCCATATAACCTGGACGTTGGACTATAACCCCCTTACGATCTCCCCTCTCTCTTCCATCATATGACTGTGACAAATTAATTGAAAGGGGAGAAGGTTGTGGTGCTGCTGGTAAATACTCACCAGGTTCTGATTGTGGATGCTCCCTTTTCAGTTTCCGCCTCTTAGAAGCATTGGAATCCATTTCCTCCTTGAGAATGTTTGTTTTCTCCCGCTCTCTCTCCTTCTCCTTCTCTTTTTCCTCCACCTACACGTGCAAGTCATAAAATACAAGCAGCATCAGAAGCAAATACTTTGGACCTCCATCTAGAAGAAAGAGAAGACTTAAAAACTGTTGGGCAGTATACAAAACAAAATTACACATTCATACAACCGTGACCCGAATCATAAAATTGTTTAACAATAAGCTATGATACACTGACACCGACACGTGTATGGCACGATACATGTTGGATATGCTGACACGCAATTTTTCAAAAAAGTACGGACACGACAAATCGCTTACACGATTAAATTCATTAAAACTCTCCATTTATGTAGTATAAATTTAGTTTCATATTTGTTATTAATTTTTCTTGTTGAAATATTTTAAATGTAAGTACATATTTGTTATTTATTAATTTGTCAAAAATATATAATATTTCTAATAAAAAATTGAAAAATGATCATGGTTAGAGTGTCAGAGGAGTATCGATATTCGACACGTGTCTGACACGAACACGTTACCCTAGTTGAAGTATTCATGCAACAAAGGCAATAAGCAACCGCCAAAAACAAATCATAATATATTTACTTTGATGGGTGAGAATGGTTGCGACACCACCACCTAATTTGATGGATCTTTCAAATTTGCACCCATCTCTGATCTCCCAATGGTTTGCATAAATTAAGGGCTGCACAATGTGCATTTATGGGTGGAAGTATGAAGCAGATAATCAGTGGATCGTGGATGAAAGTATGAAGGTGCAGAATGGATTATTACCGTTGTGGTTCTCCCAAATATGTACTTGCACAGTACATATTCAAGCAAGGATTTTATGTGCGATCGAAAACAAAAATAATTAAATTAAAAGGGATTTACAAAATTCTAGACATATAAATCACACATACATAAAATTGATGGAAGTCAGAAGAGAACACTGCGAGATACCTTAACTGATAACGAGTCCCGCTCATCTCTCTTCCTATCTCGAAAATCATCCTCCCTTCTACGTTTTGCATCATCCTGTAATAAAATATTCTCTTCAGATCGTCTCCGCTCTCTCTCATCGTGTCTTGGAGAAAGTCTCTGTGTATGCCTGGCAGTTCCAAACCGTCTATCAGCATCATCATCCCTCCTACTGGCATTAACTGACTGGGGGATGACGTGAGGGAGCAAAGGTGGAGGTGGTGGCAAGCTTTGCCCATGAAATCTATCAACTACGTTTGATTTTTCCACAGGGGCTTCATTATGCCGGACTTTACTTCTGTCATCTTTATTTCTATCATCCTTGCCTAGCCTATCAAAGTTCCTATCAGCACCTTTCTCTTGGACTCTTTCAACAGAACGTTCTCTTCCATACCTTTCCAACGACCTCTCTCTCAATTTTTCAGACAAAATATCATCCCCACGTGACTTTTCAGGACGCTCCAACCGGTCCCTGTAGTCTCTGTCATATCTTTCGCTGGTCTTATCTTTAGATCTATCTGCAAGCTTATCTGTGGCCTTACTGATGTTCAGTTCATCAGATCCTTGTTTGTCAAAATCTGCTGGATGAAGTTTATCAGTACCCCGTGCATCAATTAACCTCTCCTTTTCAGAAAAACGAACCTCACCCCCATCCATGTCTCTTAAATCAATTTCTCCTTTTCGGCGCTTATTTAACCTATCAAGTTCATCAGCAGGACTAGTTCTCTTTTGTGGTTTATCAACAGACTTAGCAACAAGATTGTCCTGCATGGGAGAATGAATAGGTCGGGAAGACGACTGTTTATGCAGATCCGAAGTGTCAGTTCCGTCATCCTTCCCAGTAGAAACCCTTGAATCTGAAGACTTTGAGTTTGCAATCTCTGCTTTTGTTTCAATTTTATGATCAGATGGTCTAGTAGATAAGGTTGTTCCTTTTGCTGAAGCTGAAACCACGCTAGGATTGCCTGCAATTGCAGAAGAAATGTAAGCAATCCCAATTTGCCTGCTCTTAAATGGATGAACAGATATATCTTTATCACCAGAAGATGAGACTGAAGTTTTGCCAACAGCTTTTCCAGATTTACCATCATCTTTGGCAAGTTCCTGCTTTGGTTGCTTTGCAAGAGATCCAACTGCAGTTGACCTTTTCACCGCAGATCTCACCTGCATCAAGAAGCTAATTTGTACAAAGACAACAAACAAAAATAACACTTGAAAAGGACATTCAAGATTCTGAAGTATAAAAATAATGACAATAATTGGAGTAACCAACATACCAGGAATAATAACAATAAATGGAGGAACCAACACACCAGGAGCACCAAATGTATAAACTAATCAATAATAATTCTGATAGTAACATATAACAGAAACCTTGTGCCGAAGTCGTCAGTGGGAGAGTAGTTTTATTTTTTATTTTTTGGGGGGCGGGGGAGGGGTGCTTACGCTTATTGTCATGATCACAATCTGTTATTAGTTTTTAAGTAAAGACACTAGGAAATCCATCGAGATGGATTCTACATCAAGTTTAACAGAGAAGCAATGGATATAGAAGATAGACCCACGTCCGCAGGACATATGTTAGCAAGGAGAGAGGAGGAAATCAGCAAGGAAAGAAAAAAGAAGTAGCAAGCAAGGAAAGAGAACAGAAGTTTTGGGAGTAGATTAGGCACCAAATAAATGAAGGGGTCGAGGAATTTGTAGATTCTTCAGGAAAAAAATTAAGTGACTGGTAAGAGAGAGTAGGGCTCTCGAGAGCCTAGAATTCCATTTTTACAGTTCTTCAGTTCAAGCTAAATACCCTTTAATAATACAGATGCTTATCAATATATTAGAATTTTGAACAAGCAAATTCAATTTACCAAACAGACTTGTAGTTTCAGACACCGGTGGAGCAGTAGCAAACCCATTAATAAAATTAAAGCAGGCCTCAATAGGGGTTTTTTAGAAAATGGAAGCCACAAGATTATAGCATTTTTGCGACTCTCTTAGGCAAGCATTTGTAACCCTATTCTCTTTTATTTAAATTATTGTTTTGTTATTTTAATCTGTTTACATAAACCATCCACTTTCCATAACAAACACAATGATGCAAAACAATCTTCCATAAATTATTCATAGCTTCACCTCATTTGGCACCGCTGTTAGCTGGAAATCAAATCCACAGTTTGTGTTCAATAGCAGGGTTAGAGGGATATAGTGGTCAATGGCTGGGATGTTTTGGCCTTTAACTGTTTAAATTAAAAATTAAGAAAATAAAAACCAACGAATTCCAACTTTTAGTTTCCGCAAACTACCCTGTTCATCTCAAAGCTCTAAACGACTAAAGGCAAAAACCTCTCTTTCAGATGGCCAAAAAATCCTGTTCAACTATTGCTGTTTCAGCCGTTCTTTTTGAGAAGAATTGAATGTTGACTAGTATGATTAATTCGCAAGGAAGAAGAATTGCACAGTAGTTCACCGCACAAAGAATCCTAAACAAAATATTTGCATTTTTCGTCGTACATCTTTCTTCAGGTCACAGATCATACTTTAACACCACAAAGCAAAACAATATTGCTGAAAGAAGAACCGACTTCTATTACAAGTTGCTGAGGCCATCATATTCATTAATAGAAGAACAAACTTAAGCCTCATTCCCAAAAACTTTGGGACGATTACACAAATCCTCCTTCCCCATTCCATTCTATGCATTGTTAGATCTAGAAGAAGGCTTAAAGCACTTAGCTCCTTGGCAACTACCATAGACCGAGTTAATTTTGGTTTGCCCATCCCTCGCGTCACTCTTATGAACAGGGGCTTAATTAGGTCAATAGAAGTAATTTTAACATATTATTTGATAATCGGAAGCTAACAAAGGTCTTAAAACACCTTCTAATGTACTTCCAAAAAAATTCATCATTTTTAATTCACGCCAGTGACAAAAAATACTTGGATGCTTTGCTTTTGTTCATATTCTCCTAGCTTCTCTACATTAGCTATTTACTAATTTCCTTATTGTGTAGATTATGCATACTTCTCTGTATAACTGTGTAAAGTTCTTAAAATCACGAATGAGAATTTAATAATTTATTCTCCAATATTTGCACACAAACATTAAAAAACACAGAATACACCATAATTCCCATACAAGTATATAACAGTGAAGGTTTCCATCCATATATATATATATATATATATATATATATANAAAACAGCTAGATGAATCTGCAAATAAACAACTGGAAGAAAACTCAAAAGTTACTCCCAAGACGTCAATGGAATCTGAGGTATGTTGCTAAGAACTTATTCTTGCATTCAACAGTGAATGAGGACTGCAAGTTTACAACCGAATTTAAAATAAGATTTCTCACCATTTGCTGTTTGGACATTGTTTGCATGCAAACAATGTCCAAACAGCAAATGGTGAGAAATCTTATTTTAAATTCGGTTGTAAACTTGCAGTCCTCATTCACTGTTGAATGCAAGAATAAGTTCTTAGCAACATACCTCAGATTCCATTGACGTCTTGGGAGTAACTTTTGAGTTTTCTTCCAGTTGTTTATTTGCAGATTCATCTAGCTGTTTTAGATTTTCAACTGAGGCGGATATTCCAGATTGTAAGGTAGACGGCACAGAAGATTGAACATCTATTCCATTAACTGAACCACCTTTTAATTTTGAATGTGAAGGATCAGATCTTAGCGAGTTGCTTTCTGTTTTTTCTATCCTTCCATCAGACCTCATTCTAACGTCTTTGCCCGAACTCCCAGAATCTGAATGTAAGGTTCCTGCAGCAACAGTTCTACTCCCCGCAGGCTCAGCTGGAGAAACATTTGTCCCAGCCACATTGTGCACGGCAACAGCACTCACAGATAAAGACTTGGACGCTGGTGCAGGTGCAGGTGCAGGCTTAATCTCAAGATAACCCATGCCAAATTCCTCATCTGTAACCCATGAAGGCTGCCAATACAACAACATAAAACAGACAATCCTTAGATTGACCTATTCAAGTAGACGACTCTATTTCTATAAAAATATAATCAATGCATATAGACAGAAAACAATCCAGAACCATTAAGGAGATTGTTCTCATGACATCCACAAATGAACTAATGTCATTCATAAAAAGTAAAGTGAATCACATCATTAGATCAGCCAATCAAAGCATAGAATAATGCCGGGCATTCACGGCGTGCAACACAGGACTATAGTACATAGAAGATATCATCCAGAATTACCAACAAGGGGATGTGTTCGTTGCATCCATGAAAGCACTTTTTTCCAAATATAATTGTTTTTTGGCCATTGATGTTTATGAACGGATAGAATGGGATGTTACCTTTCTAGCTGCCAAAGCTGCAGCAACACCAGTGGCTAAAACCTTTAGATCCTCCCTTTCATCACTTTTGATTTTAGCTACCTATGCAAAGGAAAAACAGAAGGCAATGAGCAATTCCCTAACTCAAAAACTAACACTCGGAGAATGTCCAGTAGAAAAAAACCTTTCCTATTTTTATAATTTACCCGCTTTTCAAGGTTGATACCACTCTTCCGAGTAACAGGAAATACACCTGAGATTTTAGTCAACATTATAAGAGCATTTCGAATCTCCATGTACTCAGTTGATTCCAAACACTGAATCAGCAACCTAGTGACCCTCTGACTCCATTTCCAGTGTACCTTCAGGCAAACATCTAATTTAGGTTAACAAGCGAAAAAATACTGATAAAGTTTAGACTGGCATTATAATTTCATTTTGTTCTCTTGGAAAGGGGGAAAATAAATCATCGAGACAGTCTATAAATTATCACAGAAAATTTGATAGTGCAACCTTTGTATTGGTGACCTTGAACTGTTCATTCCCATTGCCAACAAATATATCTTAAATGATTAATCAGAAGAGGAATTTACCAATGAGAAAAACAATCCAGAGGATCATCTAATTTTTGAGCTCTTAAACTCTTCATGAATATTTGTACCAAAAAATAAAATAATCTATGTATCTTCATTTTCCACGGTTATCTAGATTTTATCATTGATATATGCAATAAGGTCAGACATACTAAAAAAAAATGTTGAGGTGGGGTTTGATATTACTTCAAGCATGCATATTTTGATAGCTTGAACATAGATATACATCCATTATCCACCAATGTGCTTGCAAAGTAGCAAGTATGACATGCATAAATTGTTTTACAAATAGAAACAAGTTTTGACTTAGATTCCATTAACTAAGTTTTTCTCTCAAGTTTAACAGCTCCTTCACCGGTGGGTGAAAAAAATTGAGCTAATATGAGAGAAGATCCTTTAGATGATAAAACCCCATTAATAATGGCCACTTTGTGCAGCTCAATAAAAGATTTTTTTTGAAATTAACATTTTTACGTGGTTTTGCAGCTCACTTTGCAATGTGATAAACAGCTCTCTTAAAATTGTTTGTCTTCTTGTAGAACACTTTAATATCACAAAAAGGTCAGTCTTTAATGGTATTAAATATTATGCTTTACAAAGTTCAGAAACCTTGATTATTACATAAGCACTAAATAATGACAGACTTATATGTACATAATTATTTCTAATTCTTTTTTTTTTTTTTTGAAGTAAAAGATTTGTCCTCTTCCCACTTAGGGTGCTCAACTATAAAACTTCATTGCAAAATGTTGATTCAAGTTCCCTATACGAGGTATGTTAGCACCCTCTCTCCTCTTACCCTTCAACGTGCATGGTACTTTTCAATCACTGAAATGCAACTGGGTATACCAAGGCTCAGTATAACCGCATTTCAAACACATTGGTAAAAGGCGTACGTTCAACTATTTCTTAACCGTAAAATTTGAAGAACCTCGAATCAAATTGAAGTAGAACAATATGGAACAAAGGCAAGATTGAGAAAATCCTATCTAAATTCTATCTTTATTCTCATCTTTATCCCCATCACAAATGCATTTTCATACTTCAATCATCATCCGAAATAACTAATAATGAACATTTACCCTACAAAATTTAACTCACAAGACTACCATTTTGTGGGATTGAGGCATATCAAAGTTTGTTTTCTTATATTTTTCTTTTTCTTTTCAAGGAGTGAGCCATGTTTAGGTTTATCAAAACATTTTTCCTAATGCCTAACATGATCAATTATGGTATGTTTCTCTTTCTTTTAAGCAATGGTAGTTGCAAACAGATGTTCATTCTTAAGTTATTGTCAAATATATTCTGATTAAATGCACATGTTTGAAAGAATTAAATTAAGTTACATTGTCATGACCAACAATACTGATCAATTAAATTTCCATTAACTGACCTTGATAAATTGACCATATGTAACACGCTGGCTGTTCGGATATCTATAGTAGACAGCAAATCCCGGCATGTTTCCACACTCGCGTTCGTATACAGATTCATCACTCTACAAAATGAAGCACTTTTCAGTAGTAAACACAAAAGCAGACAACATTTAGAATACGTGAAGTTCATTGCTTTAATTTCCAGAACAGCATGGATGGAGCACAGTTCTAACTGGATAGAGACTAATGGCAATCACCACATTCAGGATTTTCTACCTTCCAATGATAAGCAGTTTTTAGTGTCTCATATAGAAACCTCCCTAGTCGACCCACTTCATACTCAGTGCAGCAGCAGATCATAGGTTGTAAGGTTTTACATATCAAAACATCTATGTGGTTCACTGTGTTGAAAAATGGTGTCCCCAAGGAATGGAGCGTATTGACAAAAATGGCACAATATACAGCATCCGGCATACTGAATGTACAGCGTGGAAATACACAGCGCTGAAGAAACTCCATGTTTATTTTCAATGTATCTGGGCATGAACTCAACCATATATCCTTCTCAAGAGCAAGCCGTCGTCGCACAGATTCAACGTGTTCTTCATGCTTCTGGAGTTCCATAGTCAATCGGTCAAGAGACTCTTGAATTCTTTCTTTATCTTTCTTTCTTTTAGCGATCGCAGAACTGGAATTATCAGCAAGTTCTTCAAGAGCTTTAAGAGCAGAATGCTGCTTTGCAATTTCTGACTCATAACGAGTTCTTGGTACATAGAGATCATATAAAGAAAGACCCCAGAAGGTAGCATACAGATCAGGAGACAGACTATTCCAGGCTTTTGAAGGCAACATTGTTTTGATAGTGTCAAGCAGATCGAGCCAACTGCATTATATGTAAATGGTTAAGCATTAAAGAAAGCAGCCAGCGAGAAGTTGCAACAGACAAAATATGTTTAAAAAAAAAAAGACAAAACACTCAACTTCCTGTCAAAAGATTGATACTGCTCATAAATCAACAAGAATATTGTATTCACAACCAAACCAGCACCAAAAATTTTATAGATAGAGGGAAAAACGAAATATTACGATATAGGGTTGCGAGAAGATCCAAGGTCCAGAATCAATGTAGATGCATCTGCAGTTTCAGAATCCTTTTCAGAAGTTGCAGGATGCAGTTCTTCATTACCATCTAAAGGCCAGAAAGCACAGGAGGCTTTTTGACACCTGAAGAGTCTCATTACAGGCCTATAAATTAAAAAGGCAACCTGAACAAGAGAGCATCCAGAACATTTTCTAGTAAGTACTGAAGCCATATAAATTATGACAGTTGCTACCCTTTTAACACATCATATGCTAGAAGTAATTGTCGACAGTTATGATATCATGATAGAATAATACAATGAAATTAATTCCCTGATTTGTGTGACTGTATAGTTGAGTGTAATCAGGGAATTAAATCCATGTGACTGTATATTTGTATGTAATCAGGAAATTAAGTCCCTGATTATGGGCTTGTTTAGTTGAATATTTTCCTAGTTTAGTTTCCTAAATTAGTTAAAATTGTACATTAAATATTCTGCAACTCTTTTGAATAAAAGTATCAATGAAATTCAATCATTCCACAGTACTTATTAGCCAAATAAATAACTTGATGGAAAGCAAGCTTCAAATAGCCAATAAGAGAGATTGAGATACCTCGGGATCAAGATGATATTGATGTACAAGTTCATCAAGAGTGGGAATCAGCAAAGCATAATTTGATACTGGAGTGACAGCACTACAAAGAAATTCCACATACTGAAGAAGGGTTCCGTGGCATCTATCGAACTGTTCACTGACCATTTTAATATGAGGCACATCGGCCTTTATGACAACTCTGTAGATTAAAATATTTAAAATACTCAACATTAAATTCACTTCTCTGATATCATAATTGTCATGCAAAACTGAAGCCCTTGCAGTTGCAGCATGACCTTGGACTGCAACATATGAAAATTTTGAAATAAAATGAGAACTTCACCTACCCCACCTCCACCCCCACCCACTCTCTTTCCCTCCCTCTGTAACACACACCACGACGAAAAATAACTTGTAGAATGGGAAAAGAAAAAACAGGACACGATGGATGAAGTCTGAATTATGATAATACCATATCCTCGTATACACAAATGATAATTTAAGTAATATATTGACTTTTCAATTAAGAATGCAGAATAACTTACAGAGAACGATGCTGGGCAATGAGTAGCAAAAGAGGAATTGCCAGTTTGGGTTCTTCTTTTGGGAGCAAAGCATCTCTAAGTCTGTTAGTGGATTTGATCAAAGCCTGCAGGAAGTAGAAAAGTTGAATTTCAAACTTTAAAGATTCCCACAGATTTACAGTTGATAATTTCCAGGTGAAAAATCAAGTCTTCAACATGCCATTTCACGAGCAAGGAGGATTCATATTTCGTCTAGGACTGACAAATGTACAATTGTAAAAAATGGGTGCGAACTAGACTTTGGCTCCATGTCAGCAACAATATCAATTCACCTCATTTAAATGGGGGAAAATGTTTAGTAATTAAAATTTTGCTTTCAACATAGAGCATGACAGAAAAGCCACAAGTTCATTGATGAGTAGATAGTTGTATATCTAGTTACATGAACATAAATGTTCATTGCAACGACAAAAAAAAAAAGTGATAACAAATGTGAATACTTAATCAACTAATGCTAATATTTTCTAGAAATAGAATACGTTATGAAATAAAAGAAAGCCTAAATTCTAGCAAATGAAACATAAGAGAAGGTTATGATTTGCGTTCAACTTAAACGCAAAAGTGTTAGGATCAGTCATTTGAGAGAAAAAATTGAAGTTCCAAAACTCTAATGTGGTAATCAGACAGTTCAGTTATGTACACTAGACAGTTCAATATTTCAAAATGACGGTTCTTTACTTTTATGATTGATCAACACGTGTCCTAATCTTGTTTTTGTCACAAGCACATATTTATCAATGGGAACTAACTCCGTAGAAGAGTGCAAGGGAGATGTAAACACATCATCAAAACCACAGACGGAGAACTCAAGAAGTCACTGTGCTGCATTAATCGTGAGGGGAGTTTAAATAAGGGAACGGCATAGGAAAAATTTCTTCTTTTCTTTTTCCCATGGGGAGGGGAGGAAATAGGTTTTTGTTGTAGATGGAATGCATATTTTATAGCATTCTCAAACCAATGATCATTACTTATGCTAGGGAAATAGAAAAAGAATGAATAAATATATTTCAAAGTCATTCTCAGATTTTTCTCTGTGTCAAAAATAACATTACTGATTCTAGCTACTAACAACTAAGGCACCTTGTTGTTCCTGGTGACTCCAAATGAAGTAGCTTGATAACGGAGAGTGTCACTTCCAGCCATGGCATCCAATTGGTCCTCAGTCATGTTCTCTGTATATTGAACATTTGCCATCTGCTGTATGAGTTCCTACATGTCATTTGCAAAATTCAAAATCAATAAGAAATTATGATAAAAAGTAGACGTAACAAATAACAAACCTAGGGTCAAACAACCTGCAGGAGAAGAAGCTCAATCCCACATCCTTTCTTCAACTGATTTACAAGATACTGGAAAAGACCCCTGAGTTCCATTGATGGATATTTTTTACACCTACGAACATGACCAATTCTTTAACAGAATGATGTCATAAATATTAAACAATAATCAACTAAATATATAGAGGAATGCAATAAGGACATCAGGATTTTTAGGATCTGCCATGAATTCTACGATAAACTTCAAGTTACAACTATGAACTAACAACAATCCATAACATAATCATCAATATATTACACGGTATCATTGTCGAATATTAATCCTGAGTATTCATACACTCAATCAGTGTAAAAGACAGTGATGAAACTCTCCGTAATATTTGCTGATAGTGATCTGGGCATTTTTCTAACTAGCCCTAACACTAAGTCACGGAACGTCAAACTTTATGGACTAATGCTCCGTCTGGAAAGAATTTATAAACGGTTTTTAAATCCATTTCTTTTCTTGAAAGCTTGGATTTGATCTGACAACTTCAGTTGCCCCAGCTAACTATGGGACTTCCCTAAGTGGACAGTAAATTGTGGGTCCATTGAAATGTTTGAAAATGAAGTTTGATCATTTATAAAGTTTGCCAAACAGAATAAAAGTTTTCTACAAAGGAACATTACTTTATTCAACAAAGTATCTGTATAAATTCATTTGACGAAATCAAATTGAACTGAAGAAAGCATATAGCTCCATTAAGAATATATTTGTCTTATTTTTGAAACACGTCTCATTGGATAACCAATACTTCACGTAAACCAATGCATAACTCATGCACAACCAAAATTTGAAAAAAGGATAGCCATGGGAGATTGTAATGGGGAACCTGATTGGTCCTTAAAATTAATTTTGAGGTTTAACAGATTTGTGTTAGATCCATATTTTCAATTCAATCCTATTTCTGAGAGCTTCTGCTTTGCTCCTCACTATGATATCCAAATCAAACTGTATTCTTTTAACATGATAATAACCCACGTATACCAATATTTCTCGGCATTTTTTACAAGTAATATTTCTGTTACGACTAACTGCACATGATATAACCTATGACAAATTTGAAATTATTCTCATATTTTTCAAGGAAGTTCAGCTGAACAGGAAAAAAAAATTATTTTGAGAATTTATTAAATCATTATACTCCTAATTTCTTAAGTGTAAACCACAACATCTAAATATTTTATTGTGAATGTTGAAATGCTTAATTTTAGTCATAATGCATGATATCCAAAAGTGACCTCAAAAGAACATCATAAGCAACAGAAATGATGGATTAAAATCTCTAACCACCTTATAGAATCAAACTTAGGGATCTTCTTTCCTTTATTTGACAAACAAAAGAGTTCACATTTCCACTACCTTTATATTGACTTCAAGTTCTTGATCCCTAATTAATCACACTTAAGAAATTGTCATTCTTTTCCATCTATAGCACTATATTTACTTTCTCGGTGTTACTACGATTAACTAATCCTATACAATGAACTCCATCTTTGTTCTCTTACTCAATTTCAATGAATTTTCTACATAATATGAGATTCTGCCATTCCCTTAGACAACCACATCGGTAACTACTCAGGAATGTAAATTGTTTTTCGAGCTAAAATTAAAAACACAAAGGTAAAATACATAGAACACATCATAAAAACCAACAGAATACTGACTAGAACTGATTAACCGCGAAGTTCTAAAAAATATTCACATCCCATTAAAAATGTATGGAACGGAAACATAGAACACAAAGAGCCTAATAATTCATTTACAGCAGCAAGTAGAATAAAACAAAAAAAATATTAATGTAATAATAACTTCCACATTGTTTAAAACGGAAATTTATTTTATTATTCATGAGAATACAAATGTTCACATCTATATGAATTTTTATGTCAGTCCATCAATTATAACATAAACATAAAACTTGAAAATTTATGACACAGAAAATCAAGTGATGCAAGATGGGAAAAAATATGCACCTAAAAGCACTTCATGCCCTGAACAATATCTTAATGGATGTACCTAGACTTTACCATTTATGTTTTTATCCTTTTAAACAAACACACACATTATACTGGCACTAATACTACCAAAACAAATCCCATAATAGAAATGAGAATGGAACATATAGAAGAACTGGTAGTTGATGAAACCATTCAGTCTGTTCTATTTCTTTATGTTGTTTTCTATTCATGATGCACTTATTCAACACCTGTACATGAATTCTATAATTTTAAAGCAATGACATAAACTAATTTTCTCATGCCTTTCGTTAAAGACCTCGTGGTTATGTTTGAGCAGATATGGCAAACTGGAGCATGAGTTGATAGATGAGGCTTGCAAAAAAAGTCTCCCAAACTCCAAGTATCAATTCCAGAGGAAACAACGGAATTGTTCAAGTACCCCCAATAACTTGCATCAAGACATGTCTTGCCAACAAGACTTCAAAGTTAAGTGCTCAGTCACTGAATTGCATACTGATAAACCTCTTTTCACGGTAATAATATCAACATTGCCACCCTGAGAAAACCCTGAATATCAAATTGTTTTTAGCCATCCTAAATAAAATATGAATCTTATTCAAGTACAAGGTCTTATTTGAGACTATCAATGACATTCATGATGTAGTCAAGAGGCCACCACAAATCATATACAACTCCGTGCAAAATCCGAATCCCATTAGGTGAGGAAACAAGCAAGACCGAGTCTTAAGAGAGATCCAAAAAGGTAACATTACTGACAAATGACATAGTATCCTGAGAGAAATTTGAATATAAAATTGTTCCCAATCGCTCTTCATTATTAAAATAATGCATCTTTCATTCAAGCGCAAGTCTTCCTTGAGATGTCAACGGCATTCTTGATGTAGTCAAGAGGCCAACTTAAAAGTAAACTTTTGTGCTAAGTCAGAATACCATATTGTTCAGGACCAAGTCAGACTCGAAAATAGAACACTATCAACAATTTCATAGTATCCTGAAAAAACTCTGAATATCATTATCAAAAGAATGCATCTTTGTTCAAGCCAACTCTTCCTTGAGATTATCCACGAAGTCCCAAGCCCATTCCATACAGAAACAAGCAAAACAAAGTCTTAATGAAGCCATTATTGACCAATTACATACACACCAGAGCTGATCTTCAGCTCGAACTTCATTTCATTTAGCAGCAACTATAAGGACAAAAGAAAATCCAAACCCTAAGCAATGCAGCAGATGGCCATCAATATTTACAGCATCCAAATAGTAAAATACCTTTTCCACAATACCCAAATGTAATTCCTCCAACAATTTAGGCTTTCTTCTCATCAACTTAGGCATGTTTGTAACATAAAGGGATATTTTTTGAGACTCCTATAGCACCTTAAAGACTAGAGACAGATCCAGCACAGTGATCTATTTTTCTCCACCTAATATGTCATGAGCTAACTGCTAGTGGTATCTTCCCATGTTAAAGCAATATTAAATTTCCAATCGAAGATGTCACCGTCAATATCAGCAGAAATATGAATATATGGACTTGAGAGACCTTTCCAATAGCCAAATGCGCTAATATCTCGACATCCTTAAACTAAGAGATCTTGCACTTCAAACAGAAAAAGGGAATTAAAAGAGCAGGAAGTACTTAATGGTGTCACCCTGCACCCTCTGAATGGCTTCTCTATCACCAAACAATATGAGCATTCTCCAATCTAACACTGATCTGAATTTTTCTACCCATATTCAAGGGAATATAAGAAGGCCAGAGGGGAAGATCCGATCAAAAAGCCAATAACAAACATGTGCAAGGTCCACTACAACTCCAGCCCCAGCCCCAGTTCCAGTCACCAGCTTCATCAGAGATTAATCTGCAACTCTGCAAACTGGTAAAGCGTCCCAGGAGATCTAAATTTTTTATAGAAAGGATTGATTTAAAACAAATTTAGACTAGATTATGTAATGTATTTACTACTTAAAAGACCGGAAATCTCTGGATAAATACACTAAATAAAGCATGTTCAAATACCCAGTCCCATTGAGAAACAAATAAATGTAGAGTAGAAGATAAAAATGAAAAGAAAAAAAATATAAAGTAAAGAATTTGAAGTCTAGGCCACTTATGTGGCAAGTAAAAAAGCTAACAGCATCTAAAGAAATTCTGCGTCACTCATTATTGTCATTCAATTTTAAGTAATTCAGCATTTCACCAATGTATTAGTAATTAAGACACTACATTGTCAAGGAAGCACAAAAATACAAAGCACGAGCAGTATGTCACAGTAACATCTGAACATAAAGTCGCAGTAACATCTGAACATAACAAGCAAATCCGGAATAGTATAAAGGTGAAAAAGAAACATACAAGTGACCCCAAAATGATGCCAAAGATTGAAGCCAATCTGACAAATTAAGGCCATCATCTTTAAGCTTCTCGCGCCCAACTTGAGCCAATCGTTCAATCACGACATACTCCAGAATATCATACTCAAGCTGTTGAATGCATGCATTTTACGAGTGTAAAAATCCGAACAATTTAAACAGGCCAAAAGAACTCATCTACCAAACAACATGAACTGCTGAACAGTAAATAAATCGTACCAAAATGAAAAGGCTAGAAGAGGAAGTAAGTAAATGTAGAAATTGCATGTTTATGGTAACCAGAGTTGGGATAGTGTTTGCTATGCATTTGTTAGAAATGAAGATGCAAATTATACAATAACAGAGAAGGACATCGGATCCATATTGAGACTTATTTCTCATATAATTTCATATATTACTTCACAGCGAATTAAAGTAATTGCCTCACACCAAAATTTACCATAACTACTTGTAGTTATCAAGATTCTCCCTTTTTATTTTATTATTTTTTTCTCTTTTTTTTTTTTTTGCAAATCTTTTAAGACCCTTTCCAGGAGAACCATCAATGAGCGGAAGAGGTTAAAAAGTCAGGAAATATAAAGTTGCTAAATACCTAGAAGAGTGTGTGTGTGACAAACCAAACTGCAAAATTTTTCTTAGTACTGTTCTTCCTTAGATTCATTGAAATCTTTCATACTTGACACCCATAACTTCACTGACAACAAGGTGCATCTCCTATGTTTGTGTGTGCCTGTATACATGTGCAGACACAAACCAAAGGCATAACTAATGGATAGGGGTTATTTCAGCAAAAATAATGTTTTTTCTGAACAAACAAATTTCAGTAAGAGCATTACACAAAAAATTGATATCCTATTCACCTACATAACATCTTATATCTGGCACAAAATCTTTATCTACATTCAGTTGCTAATACAGAGAAGGAAGTGTACAAAAGAGAGAGAAGATAACAGCAGAAAATAAAAAACTAAGATACACCTGAGTCAGATACTTGAATGCATCCACAACAGGAGTGATCATATCCCTGTATGCCTCTATCTGCATGTACAGTTCAAATCCATCATTTAGCAAAAAGTCTAGCATCAAATGGACAAAGCGACACTCAAACTAAGCAAATTACCTGATGAACAATTGTCCGGAGCACCGTCATTGGATTGGCATGAGCTAATTTAGCAACCATTCGTCCAAGCTGCTTTAAATTTTCTTTTGCAAGGCGCTTTAGAATCCTTCTGGTGTCCAACTGCAAACCAACAGGTGGCAAAATTGTATGATAAATGATTAACGATATCAGAGTCCTAAAACAATGAATTTGTACCTTTGCTGTTTGTCTTGCAGCCAAAATCATTGGAAAACGCTCATCCTCCTTCTCCCATTCACCGTACAAACGGTAGCGCGCCTAATGAAGCAACTTATCAGACCACAATTCAGCTTAACATAACTGATTCTCAATTAGAAAGAGTACAAGTGGTTGAAATTCAACCTCATAGGGTAGAAGACTCATTAGTTCCCAGATCTCCTGTCCAACTGCAGGATTTGCAGGTATCAACTGTAATGAAGGAAGAAGACATGTTCCTAGTGCTTCCTCAATTCTTAACCTCGCATCCTTCAGGTGGAGGCGTGGATTTTCATTTCCATTAGTAACAGTATGAGAATTAAATGCCCCATAACCATTATTGACAAGCTCAAGTGCACAAAGGTAATAAGCTCTCAACACTTTGGATGTCTGTGAGGTAAGGTAAAAAAAACTAATATTAATGAGAAGTACCAGAAAGTGACTAATTAGATGGGCCAAACTAGAACATAGACCTTCTGCAGCAACAAAGTGTCGCGATAAAGATAAGGTCCAGCAGCAGAAAGCATTTCAAAAAGCTCTTTAGGAAGATTGATAAAAGATCTACTGTGGGATGAATTTCCTGTCTCCATCAAGTCAGTGCCAGATCCAGGCAATACATCAATATTTGAAATTTGGTTTTGACGAACAAGTTCACAAGCCGGAGAGATTGATTTTCCAATAAGCCTAAACATTAAACACAAAAGTATCAGATAATGAACTTAAAAGCAGAAAAGAAGCTAAGAAAGAGAGAAAAACGTAAATGTACATGCAACATGTCATCGGCAGATTAATATGACCTTGCTACCAAGAGATGATAACATTTACCTAAACAACCCATCACAAATTTCAATATGTTCCACTGGATTCAGTGTTGAAAGGCGGTCCAATAACTGACGAGCATGACACCTGTGAAATCAAATCAAACTGATAAGTGAACGCAATATCAAACTAACTAAATGGAAAAATTTGTAACGTAAAATTAAAACAATTATGTACCATATCAGTATAAATTATGCTACATTCTATTTATCTGCCAAGTGCCAATAAAGTGTGCATATTTTTTTCTGGAAAGTCTTCAACGAAATCTCCATCACAATTTCCATTGGAGAGATTCATGGGTCGTCTAAAGACAGAAGAAATTGACTGTAGTACGCTATCTAGGTTCATTCCAAATTCTTAATATCATTTTCATAGTGGAAAAACGTATCGCAAATTGGTCACAGTTATAAGGCCCCAAAGAGAACATGTAGCAAGCTAAGACTAAACTGGCAGACAAAGACAACGCAAGCACCAGAAACCATGATCATAAGCAGGAAACAAACTTGGCAATAAATCATGCATCATCACAAGCAAGACACATGCACACAGAGAGACAAGCTACAGCTAATTACTCAAAAAAATTGCAATTCAGATTTCAAGTTTCAGAATTACCAATCGTCCACTGCAAGGAACCCCATCAGTAATCCCAAAGTTTGATTATTTTCGAGCTCCAAGGACCTTTCAGCAACTGCCCCATTTTCCATGTCTAAAGCAGCAAAAAGATCTACAGTTACATCTCCTTGTTTCTCATCATCCATGAGATCCTTTCCAGTTGCCGCAAGATTAATTTTCCCAATCTTATTAGCCTGTTTGTCCAAGGCCATAAAAGATCCAATGTTAACTTTAACACTCAATATATCTATTTGTCATTGAAAGCCAACGTAAACAAGAAACTAAAATGACAAATAAGTGGTGACAAATAAGTGGAACATGGATAGAAGTGTACACAGAAGATATGAAATCGGTCGATATGGAATTCCAAAGCTCAAAGAAATACATGGGCACACATGCAAACTATAGGAAAGATATAAACATCAGGGATTCACGGGTACATAGGAAAAGTAAATCTTCTTGTCGATATGGCACTCCAAAGCTCAATGAAATACACGGGCACACATGTAAGCCATAGGAAAAGAAGTACGTGCTTAATGAATACCACTTAAACCAAGATAGAGAAATAACATGTTAGCCCATGTTTGATGGCTATTATTTTGAGAAAATTGAGTTTAGAATAGTGATTTTTTAGAAAATGTGTGGTTAAAAAGTATGGAAAAAATTTGGATTTTTGTGCTAAATATTTTATTGTGTAAATGTGTGGTTGAAAATGAATATGAAAATTAAAAAATTCTGAAATAATGGTAGTTAAAAAGGAGCTTAATAAAATATTACAGAGCCTTTGGTTAATAAATGCAACCAGAACATCCAGATATAATAAGTTGAACTACCTCATCAAGTCTTTTGGCCGAGAAAGAGTTGTAATGCTCAAATGCTTCCTCATCCTTAGGAAGTAAGTGTGCATATCTGAAAAAGATACCATATCACAGGGTAGAAATAGGTCATGCCATGAGCAGTACTTGGCAGGAGTCGAGAGAGTGAAGAAAAAGCATAAGAAATAAACAATTAAAACATCCAAGTTAGACTGTAACTGCCCAAGCCTCCAAAAAGAATAGCAGATTAGTGATGAGATGGAAAGGGTTCTCTAGGTTAAGAACTTGCATTGTACAACAATTATTTGGATAGAAGAAGAAATCACATCAGAAAATTAAGAAATATAAAAGCTGGACCTATGGAGGACAAGGGGATCCGCGATATACATAGAAATAAAATGAAAACAAGAAATCAACCAAAACAGCTCTCCAAGCTCGCAGAAATTACACAAGATTTTAAGTTATTATCATTCGGAAATACGTCTAAGACACTCATCCAATCCCCACAAAATTGAAATAATTATGACTGTGGGTTCCTTTGATCAAAAAAAGAAAGAGAGAGAACTCTTATTCATCTGGAAGTAGAGAGAAATGACTCAATTCTCCTCCCTTGACTGGATTCAAATCAGAGGTAAAAAGAATATCGTAAGACCAGATCCCAAGCAACAGGCTGCAACCTGCCCAAACTGTGATTCTGGGATGCTGTAGGGAGAGCAGTTAAATTGACTAGCTAGACACGAGCTCAATACTGTAATAACCAAACTGAAGACTGAATCCAGGCCGAGAATATAGTCAAATAAATTCATGAAAGGCAACCCCATGATGTGCTATCCTGCCCAGGTCAACTTCTCAATTTAAAAATTAAGCCTATTTAATTCATGAAATTCAATTCCAATGCCTTTCCTCACTTCAGAAACTCAACCACTTCTTTGGCCCCAGATAAACACCACTATTTCCTGTACTAATAGGAAAGAAAACTCTCTGCAACTAAAAAAGGACTTAAAATTCATGCGATAGTTCTAAAAACAATAAAGACTTCTGTGAGATCAAAGACAGTTTCTGACAAGGCTTTGGTTCTAGGTCACGTACTCATGCATGTGCTATAAAAAATGAAGTGATAACTATCGCACAGGTTTGCATATATCTCAAATCTGCTTTTTCATTTTCCTAGCTTACAACATATGAGGCTTTAATTTTGGTTGTGCATTAATCACTCATTCAGAAGGTTACAACTCTTATTGTTTGACTGGTAGTGTAACGTCCCAAAATTTTACTAAATATAGGACTTAAGTGCTCTATTATTAAATTCTAATGACCTTATTGGTTTTTGACCTAGTCTAATGACCTTACTGGTTACTAGCCAATAGTTTGAGAACCTAATTGGAGAGTTATCTTGGAAACTAAATGAAATCATGAATAAAATATATGTAAATATGTCAATTAATCATGATTTAAGATTTATTTAATCACGTACATTATTCACACCACATTTCAAGCCAATGTAATTGATTTGGCCACATGCATTATTTACACCAAGTTTCAAGCCAAGTCAATTGAATTGAATTTACCAAATGATTAAAGGTATTGATTGGATCACTTTCAAGACAATACACCATTTATGCATTGACTATGCCTAACATCTAGCCATTTCCTTTCACTTTTCTATACATAGTCCAAGAATTTACACTATAAATAGGAGACAAACCCAACACTATAGACTACCCCCCATCAACTATTTACAAACTCTCCCTCTTTACCTCTATCACTATCTCTCCACCTTTACTCTTTCTCGTTATTTTCATATTAAATATAGTCATACACGTACACAATCACACGTGAATACTCAACTCCACGGGATGCTCAAGGATCTCTCTCCAACAATCACTTCTATTATTTTGATTTGTCCGGTGCAAAAGGTAAGTGCATTATTACGTTATTACATTTTTTTATAGATAATCAGAAAATTTTATTAATCAAACAAGAATACACGGGAAGTGTATTATCAGTGTAAACAAGAAAAAAAAGATATGAAGTTAGGCAACCCCTCTATAGGATTCTTAGTCGATGCATTAAACCAAATATACAAAATCAGATAAAATAATTCTCTAAATTGCTCTGTAATCCGTATTTGGTTTTCAAAGTATCGGTTGTTTATTTCCCTCCACACACACCATACAATGCATCTCGGGATAAGATTTCATACTAGCTTGCTATCCTTATCACGAAATTTCCTCCTCCATGCCCGTAACACGTCCTCTATACGTCTAGGCAACACCCAATCTATATATTGAGAAGCCAGAATACTGTTCCACAGCCAACAAACACGGTCGCAGTGAATGAACAAGTGGTCACGCGTCTCTCCATTGCTCCTATACATATAGCACCACTCGGTAACATAAAAGCCTCTTTTTCGAAGATTATCCATCGTTAATGCATGTTCCCTCACAACCGTCCACAATAAAAATGCCACTCGTTGGGGCAATTTGCAATGCCACACCATCANACACCATCATCCAGGGAAATGAACTCTCCACGGGTCCCAAGAGAGATCTAAAATAAGAGCAAACTGAAAAAATACCATTCTGTGCCAGCCTCCATCGGCTACAATCATTCTCTCCTACCCGAATTTGCACCTCATACAAATTCGTTAGAAACAATGCATAGTCATCAAATTCTCAATCCTATAAACGCCTCTGAAAAGTGATATTCCAACTGTAACTCCCATTGTAGATGGCTAAAACGTCATTCACCATAGCAGAAGGCATCATAGTAATACGATGTAAGGAAGGAAACCCCAACTTTAGCGGTATATCTCCACACCAACAATCATCCCAAAATTTGATATTATTACTACCCCACCACAAAAGTCAAGCTATTCCAAAAGTCATTCCATCCTC